CATGGCGATGACGCCGGGACAGTTTAGTGCTCTTGCTTAGTGGATTACAGTACAGTACTGTAAAGCGTCAAACATTTTTTTTCTAGAGACCTTTTCACTGTTTACAAACACAGCCTCTTGATAACATCCGTTTTTGTCCTCCGATGTGGCAAAATAACATCTGTGGGCAAGAAGAGCTTTATGAATTAACCCACTGATTTTCTACACTTTCTTTCTCTTATCTGGCAAAATACATTCAAATAAATAAGCTTTTAAGCTAAATCAAACTTATAAGAGATTCCTTTGAACATAACGTACGTTCCTATTAACTACAATATAAAAAAAGACATTTCTTACATTTAAAAACGAACTTGAGAGCGTGCTTTCACTTGGACGTTAGGAGCTGGTAAATGAGGTGACCAGAAGTTTTCTAGGGTACAACGCTTGTGACCTCTTGTGAGGTGATCCCCCTACAGTTCAATTGCCAAATGCGGAGATATCGTGTCCTGTTTTTCACTGTCATGTTGACTATCTAGCCAACTTTGCTTGCTGTGAAAGCAGCCTGCAGAAAGTCATGTAAACCGTTTGGCTGTGATTTCATCGTCTCCAAGGCCGGTACCACCATGTTTTTCATGTACATTTCTCCCCCCCCCCTCGAAAAAGCGGCGGCTTTTTCGAGGGGGGGGGGGAGGGAGGCATGCGCATAACGTCTTTTCATGCTTGTCTCTCCTTAGCGCTGGCTTTTATTGCGTCTAGTCGGCGCCTCGATTAGTACGTAATGGTTATAATTCGAAGACTCGCGCTTTGTTGAGCGCTTGTTTGCGACAAATGCTCTCGGTCATTAGCCTCATATCTTCGCTCATGACGTCCATGGCATTCTTGAAGTCTGATCTCTGATCGCACGGGCATTTGCCGTTGCTTTACAGCTCACTCTTTAGAAGCCGGTCCTTCTTCGCATTATCTTCCCTGTCTCGCAATCTAAAGTAGTAAGGGAGTTTTTATATCAGCTAGTGGTTCGGGAGTGCGCGTTGACGTACTGCTGTTTGCACAGCGTGCTTCAGATAATTCGAGCATTCGCTTTGTACACGCGGCTTTATGTTCTCATAATAACCCTTGTTCTAAGTTAGCTATCCTATCTCTATCAGTTTTAAAGAACTCATGTTTTTTTCTTGAGCGTAGTCGTCATGGCGCCTCTGAATTTATCCGCCCACGTGCCGTCGCATCTGCTGTTCTTTCTTGCAAAACGCACCTGTGATCCCTGAGCGACTCCTGTTAGACGTCGAGGTCCTTGCAAGTGGGCGTCTTCGCTTCAAGAGCGCAAGTAGCTGCGTGTTGACGTCTTCTACCTAGATAAGCCTCGTTCTGTCTATTGAATGTCTTCGTCTAGCTGTACCTAATCTTGTTGCTCCAATCAAATTAGTTTCGTCGTGCGCACACTACAGCGGGATCAGATAGCTTTTAGAGCACACGCTGTCCGCCATTACGTTCAAGACTCCGCATAGTTTGCGTTGTGCATGGCAAACTTGGGATGAGAGTGGGTTTACAATTCCGCAGCCTCTGCATTTGACGAAGCCGTGGTCGGGGCAAACGCCTGCACGATAATCGAATTTCCAGCATACGTAGCATATGTCCACTTGTCTGCGATATAAGTAGCCGCGTACCAAAGTGGACTCGTATCTCACGAAAGTCAGGATACGAAGTTTATTAAACAACGATCACTGACCTTCAGTACTTAGACATTTGATCCTCAGTACTTAGATGATCGTCAGCACTGTCAATGTGTCGGATTACCTCTTTCCAGGTGTTGCATTAATCATTTTTCAAAGTCATTTTCCAATCATTTTCAGATAATAATCTACAGAGCGCTCGGGAAAATAGCTTCCTCCGTGGTTTGATTTGATCATGACTTGCTGTTGTTACAACGGTTTTGCTCACTAAGATAGGTCTGACATCTGTATGTTCAAGTCACCCTCATAATAATAATTTTCAGATAATAATCTACAGAGCGCTCGGGAAAATAGCTTTTTCCGTGGTTTGATTTGATCATGACTTGCTGTTGTTACAACGGTTTTGCTCACTAAGATAGGTCTGACATCTGTACGTTCAAGTCACCCTTAGGGAGATACACTATCTTGATGTCTTCTTGGCGGCAGGGGGGCGCACGAGTTAGGCCCTCATCAGATGATTCGTGATGTTAGAAGGTTTCTGAGAGGAGCCCACCTGTCCGTTGCTTGGATGGCTTTTATGCTGTGAAAGTGGTGCAGTTGTTCAGGTGCATTCCTTTTTCTTCATTTTCCGGCTGGTCACCACTTTGTCACTTGTCTTGTACTCTACGAAACTCGCGCCTTCGAATGCTGCGCCGTCTTGTTCATGAGATGTGACCGAAGTACCCAGCGTTCTTTGTCTATCCTCCACAGAGCTGCTCATTGCGTCGGTAGTGAAGAGCATTTGTGATTGCCCAGCCACAGTGGTCTAGTGGCTAAGGTACTCGGCTGCAGACCTGCAGGTCGCGGGATCAAATCATGGCTGTGGCGGCTGCAATTCCTATGGACGCGGAAGTGTTGTAGGCCAATGTGCTCAGGTTTCGGTGCACGTTAAAGAACCCCAGGTGGTCGAAATTTCCGGAACTCTCCACTACGGCGTCTCTCATAATCATATGGTGGTTTTCGGATGTTAAACTCTACGTATCAATCAATGAATCAGTCATTCGCGACGTCGCGCTTGGCAAAAAGGGCGGGTAGTCACATCGCCGAGCTAGACCCACTAGAGACGATGCTTAGCCTGCCGCCAGCATGACGCGAACACACAAAAAAAAACGCAAGGCTGACCTAGAAGGCACACCACAGTCACAGTGAAAGATAGAAGAGCAGCCTTTTATAGCCTTTTCTAAACATTCATTTGGTAACTGCTGCAAACACACTTGCTAGGTACCCTCTAAGGCATTAATATTCATAATTTCTGGTTGGTAGGCCGGCATTCTCCATGCTATCGTTCGTCATTCTTCTGAGGAGCGTGGTATCCGCTAAACACTTGCAAGAAATTTTGTGCCAATCGTTCATGCTGTGGCTGACGGCCACGAGGAACGAGGCGATAAGTGGGTATGTGCCACAGAAGTAGGTGATCAAGAACAAGCTTCGTAATAGGTTATAGTGTTGGACGACCAACTCGTTACGCTATTCGCAATGTCTGATGCCTGGTTCTTCCTTTGTTGATCTAAAACGCTTTAGCACTGATAATACCGTGATTCCTTTCCCAATATCAAGCCTGCCTAAGGTAACTTTGCCAACAATTCCCTAGCACGGGCGCGGCTCAGCGGTAGAATACTGGGCTGGCACGCAGGGGATCCGAATTTCGCCCTACTGTGTCCTTGGTGTTTTTATTTACTGATTTATTTTCCTTTCAGTACTGATTTAGGACACCCGTGGCGGCGGCGATGGATAACATTAGTGCCGCGCTTGAGCCGTAATCTTCTTTTATAACAGCTTTCACAGTAAATGTCCGGATAAAATTCTTAAGTGTCGACCCACTTAGATGAATTTGGCGCCCGGGCAAACCTGGCAACTTCAGACGCTCGCTCGAGCTCTCTTTAAGCCATTTGCACGTAACTTGAGCCGGTTCTTCAGCAGTTTTCATTGGAAAGAATCCTGACACTCAAAATCCTGACGTTAGGGCAGTGCGGGGAAAACTAAATTGGTTGTTGCCCATCGTCGTAATAGTTTTATTTGTTTTATCTCTTAGCGGGACGGCTCAGTGCTCTACCTTAGTTGAGTATGAAGTACTCGAAATTCTTAAACATTTTTTTCTAATCACATAAGATCTCCTTAGCACTATTACCTAGAAAACAATACATTGTGTTCGACAGGCATTCATATGAGAATTCAATGAGAGTAGATGCCATATTCATCAGTGCGCGTCTAAAGTAAGCTCTCACGTTTATTTTACACATATAGACCACGAATGGGAGAGGGGGAAGCCGCCGTACTAGCTCAGTCGGTAGGGCATCGATTAGCCTTACTCGAAGGTTGCTAGTTTGATACCTTCCCACAACAGGCTACCTCTTGTGTACTTTCCCTTCTACACACATACGGTGCAGTTACCTCTAAGACATTTCATATACTTTTTTGCATAATTGTCTGTTAGATTGCATTGTTATTGTATCTAAACAAGTGAGCCCTCTAATGTACACTTTCTTCAAAGCTATCAATCGGTACAATTCCGTGTAATTTACCAACATGACAACTTAGTGCCGTTAATACATGAACCCACATCAATGTGCAGCTTAGTTACTTTTTACTGTCTCAATTTTGCTCCAGAACAAACGATCAGCAAAACGAAATGTAATAGCCTGCTTAATGTAAGGTTAGTTCGAATGATTTGTGAAGAAAATTAGAAGCTATACTCACGTAAACCAACATTCGTTTGTATTTCTCTCCTTTCAAGCCGTTACTTGTTTCCAGATACTCCGATGTCATCTTCTCTGCTAAAGTCAGTTTTCTAACAAATTCTTTTTCTTCCAGAGATTTACTTATCTACTGTCTACCACTTGGTTGTACGCACAACCACTTGTGTAGGGATAAAGCCAACTACATCTATCCGAATTCTCGTAGACATGTCAAAACGCTATGGTAAACT